CTTGGGATGCTCCCTCAGAACTTAAGTGTCATGCTGTAAGAAACACAAGCCACACAGAGTGATGAAATGAAGGTGAACTGGTCAACAGCTCCACCTGAGCAAGTACCTGACAGCCAGCATCAACTGCAGCCATGTGAGTGAGCCATTTTGGGTATCTAGCCAAGTCTAGCTATGAGATGACTCTAGCTTACATCTGACTGAGACTGCATAAGAAATCAAGTAAGAATTATCACAGAACAATGAGAGGTAATGATATATTTTTTTTCTAAATTACTAAATTTTGGAAAAGTTACTTATGCAGCAATTGATAACCTAAACATCCTCAAGAACATTGCAATCATGTGAAGAAGAAACACACAAAAGTAGATTCTAATAATCAAGTATAGTAAACACAATGATGAAAGTGTGCACAAGATATTATGAAAAAAACTGAGAAGAGAAGCCTTGAGAGGGGATACTGGGGACCCAGGAAAGGATTTCTAGACAAGATGGCATTTAAATGAAACTTAAAGACAGAATAAGAATTGTTCTGGCAAAAGAAAAGCTATTAAGGACAGAGGAGAATGGTGTTAAGGGAACTACAAGTATTTAAATTTTACTGGATTCCAATTATTGGAAGACAATGGTTAGAAATGAGACTGGAGAGGAAGGCAAGCCTCTGGATAAGCCATTTTAAGGGGTCCACACTCGATCATGTAGAAGATCAGGAGACATTGAAGGCCTTTAATCTGAGAAGTAACATGGCCAAATTAGTCTTTAAATCAACTATATCAGGTCCTGTGTGGATGACAAACTGCAGGTTGAAAGTAGAAGTAAAAGAAAAACTGGTGGTAAGGCAAGAGAAAGAAACTCTTATAATAATTCAGATAACATAAAATGAGGTGCTTACCTAGGTATACACGGAGAAGTGAGATGGATTTAGAGATGTTATGAAGAAAAAATTAACAGAATTTTCAGTGGATTGAATACAGGGATAAAGATGAGGGAGAAATCCAGTGTGACTTCCATGGTTCTTGCTTTGCAATAGAGAGAAAACTGTGCTACACACTAATATGATTGAGGAAAAGTATTGATTTGAAATATTGAGTTTGACTCGCCTGTAAGAAATTAAGTTAATCTCATCTGGCAAATCTTGGGTCTATAAATATTATGCATGAAGGAATTAGGGTTGAAAATTCACTCATTCATTCATTCATTAAATAATTATTGATTAAGTGACTATGGAGTGCCAGGCACTACTCTAGGTGATTGGATTAGAGCAGAACACCAAACAGACAAGGACCTTTCCTCATGGAGAATATATGCTAATAAAGGATACAGACAGTAAGGGGTCAACCTAACAAAAATGATAAATAAATAGAGGATGATTCTGGGTGTTATTTTAGATAGGGTAATTAGGAGAGGTAGGGGATCTAGATGGAAATGACTTAAAAGTAAGTGAGGGAAAAAGTCATCTCAAGAGAAAAAGAGCACAAAAGTAAGTGTAGCAGTACTCTGATAGGTCAAGGACATTAGAAAACGAATCACAGACTATCCTCATTTGTATAAAAAAAGGTGAAAATGTCTCAAGGGTTTATGTAACCTGCTGATAATCCTCTTCTAATTTTTCTAAAATAACTAAGTCCATCAATGTTAAGTGATAGGTGAAAATCAAAATAGGTAGCAGCACTTTTTAACATAATGGAACATCTCTGGAATGCTGAAGCAGTATAACACAAAAGAATTATCTCATATAATCTCTTATCAAAAGAAGACTAACACACGTATAACAGTCGGCTAACAATATAATCCTTTATATAATTGAAAACGTACTATTGTAGGGGCTGGCCCAGTGGTGTAGCGGTTAAGTTCACATGCTCTGCTTTGGCAGTCCTGGGGTTCACAGGTCCGCATCCTGGGCATGGACCTACACACTGCTCATCAAGCCATGCTGTGGTAGTGTCCCATATACAAAGTAGAGGAAGATTGGCATGGAAGTTAGCTCAGAGACTGTCTTCCTCAAGCAAAAAGAGGAAGATTGGCAACAGATATTAGCTCAGGGCCAATCTTCCTCACAAAAAAACCCCACAGAAAAACAAAAACTTACTATTTTATTACTGGGAATAAATGTTTAAAAAGTTATATTCCTTTTTCTAGGTGCTGTATATGTACACAATTTCATATAAGCTTATTTTTATGCAGACCTCTGTAGATCGTACTGGATAAGATTTGTGTAGTGCTTTATAAATTTCAAAGCAATCTTGTATCCATTGTAGGCATAGAAGACTACCTTTAATTAGATAGATAAATATCAAATATTTTCTCATGCAAGTATTGAAAAATGCAATATTTCTAAATCTGTGCTATGCATCACATTTTATCTTTTTGTTATAAGTTCCCATTACCAATTTAAGTTTTGGTAAATATCTGAAACGATGGAAAACAAAAGTAGCTACACTATTTTCTTTCTATAGTGGAACTCTTTTGAATAGTTCATGTAGGACACAAGATGGAGTTTCATAGACTTCTTTCTTACGAGGAGAAATGCTACATGAATTGTTACGTACAGATATGATGTGGCCCACAATGTCACGAATTTGATTGTATGGAAATGTACTATAAGTGAGCTTTACTATAAACAGGTGACTAAAAACAAACATAGTAACAGTCAGAACTATGTGTAAGAAAAACTATGCAATTTTATTTATTTTTTTCAAGAGAAATAGAAGAATAAGGTATTGGTGAATTTGTGCCATTTAGTAACAGCCTTTGCTTTTCAGTGGCATGTTCAATAGAGTTTTTGGTTTATTACTAAACTCGATTGTTCTCTACAAATGACAAAGTTTCTTATGGCACGTATGTTGTAGGTATGCTAAGATCATCTATTTTCATTTGTAACAAAATTACCATACACTGCTTACTTTGGCTGTTTAAGTATTAATCTTATACTACATTTTTCTGGCAATGTTTCATAGAATTTGTCTTCTTATTAACTTCTTATTACAAATGATCTTCTAGTGCCATGAAATACAGGGAAATTGAGAGTTAAAGGGAAAAAAAGTGCCCATATAGGAGATTTGGTCCAATCATTAATACTGTGAATCATGAATGAGATCAGAATAATTTTTACTCTGAGAATAAAAAAATATTGTGATTAAAATAACAGCTATTGATCTTGAGGATATAAAATTGATATGGTAATGTTTTCATATTGCTTTTTTTTGTGTCTGTTAAGCACAGCTTCTCCTACTCAAATAAGCATGCTGCACTGCCTGCTGAGAGGTGGAGATGGGAAAAGATGGTAGAAGACATTCTGAGAAGAGAGAAAAGCATGTGTAAAAGCAAATAATCAAACAATTATGCTGTATTTTGTATAGGTAATAAAAAAGGCATTATTATAACCACTCAGCTACTGCACCTGTGCAAATTCATTTTCAAATTGTGCAATGATTTGAAAGGTTTGAAAATGGGTACAGAATAAAATTTCCAACAATTTTCAGATATGAATCATTGAAAAACATATTCTATGCTGATTAATCCCAAATAGATAGGTAGAAAAAAAAGATAGATACAAGGTTAATAAACAAATGTAAAAAGTGTTAGTCTCAAATATGCTCTAGAAAGTTATCCCAAAGGGTGTCAGACATAACTCTGCAATTTTATTTATTACTTCAAAAAAAAATTTCCGTTTCTGCTAGGGAATTATGGGAATTTCCGAGAGTGGTTATGATGACTAGGGTTATCATTAAGCTAATAACTCACAAATAATTCCACCTTCTTTCCGTTATCTGCAATCTCTTTTCTATGCAAGATCCATCTCTTCAAAAGGAATTTTCAAATTTATTTTTCTTCTTACTATTTATGTTTCACAGAAGAAAGACCTCAGATAATCACGAACACATGTACACATATTCACAATATCAGGAAAAAAAATAGACGCAATACGATGCAAATCCTTGGTATTATAACTTTCAAAAATATTTGAATCCTAATTTGGGGTGATTTCTTGTATAAAAAATATAGAGTTTTCAGTAAGAGCATGACAGGTATTTTGTACACAGTGTGTCTGATGTCTCAAACAATTTATCCTCTTTTTAATGTGGAAGCAATGTCCATATCTGCAGTTCACTTATTTTAATTCTTAGGAAATATCATTTCTAGAAAAACAAACAGAAGACATAACTCAAGGAATACCAAAGGCATAATTGTATGAGAGGTAGGTTTCAGAGTAGCTGCCAACTCTTCCTCACCTTATCTTATGGAGAACACTTACTCTTTCCAGCTTCAAAGAAATAAAGTTGCTTGTGTATAGTTAAATGATGCAAAGAGCATGAGAGAGTTAGTTTGTCATTTACCCTTTCTTTGCTCTTGTGAAACAGCTATTCTGCCTCCTCTTCTTGAATTCTAGAAAACAGAAGTATTTGGAAGCTTAGAAATAATCATCCCCATCCCACTGTCCAACCATCACAGAATTCTTCCTCAGGCATAAACACACGTAAGACTGACAGGGAAATTACATTTCTGAGTATGACTTTGTGTGAAGGGGAGAGATTTCAGCTGTGGGGGTCACTAATGGAATATTCCACTTATAAGAAGAAAAGAAAGCCCTTTCATTTATTTATGCATAGTATTTTCAGATGACCAAAAGCCTTAGATAGGCAAATATACGTTAACACCTAGCCTAATAGATTATTTCAATGACATTGCACATACGCATATATAATGGCTACAGACTGTATGCCTTGAACAGAAAATAAACATTGAAAGTCTGCACTGCAAACTTTGTTTAAAGCACTAAATAGGATATCAAGTCCTCTGTCAATGACAGCAGAAGGTTCCAGGCACTATTTGTTTCATAATCCTGTATCTAGCTGACTCTTTACTTCTCTGCGGCTCAAGTTGCCAGCAAATGCTGAACTGGAGCATGAGCGTCAATCCTTGTTTGGTTAACAAATTCCCCGCAAAATATCCCCCCAAGCCCCCAAGAGCTGTAGTGATGTCATATCCGTTCTTCAGGTCTCCACATCTCTCTGAGCAGTTACTCCCTTTATCTTTTTCTTGGGTCAAAACTTTTGAGGTGGGCTGTCTAGATAGCAGCAGGAGAAGGGGTAAATTGGGGCCCGCGGGTTGGAGGCACTTCAGCACCTCGGTCAGCGCCCACTGCAGCTCAACCCACCCTCCTGAGCTCGCGGACTCCCAGTTCTGAGAATGCCTGCGGAATGATCGCCCCCCAGGGCGGCTGCAGCTGCTGCCGCTACTGCTACCGCTGCTGCTGCTACTGCTCCTGCTCCTGCCACCGCCTCTGTCTCCACTCAGCTCTGACTGGCAGGCAGAAAGTGCAACTGACGAGGGAAAGGTCTCTGCAGTGAGAGTGGAGTGGCTACATAAAAAGAGAGTAAAGAGGGGGCAAAAACCCAGATCAGGATGCAGGCGACGTCCAATCTACTCAATCTCCTGCTGCTCTCTTTGCTTGCTGGATTAGATCCTTCCAAGGTATGGACAATATTTTGAATCTTCTTTGAAATAAATGTGCAATATGTAATAAATCGACCAAAAATGCAAATAAATATGCCTGCAAAAGGGACACGAAAGACAGCTCTTCTAGCTATTTTGTGGTACCTGGCGTATCCCCACTGCTTGGAAGATAACAAGGTGAACTACCGGAGGAATAGCTCCTCAAGGTAGAATCTTGGCGAGAGGTGGGGAGGGACCAGGAGCGAATATAATGTGTATGGGCAGCGGGCAATGCGGCTCTCGGGGGATTTAGCTTATTCCGTAACCAAGTGCTTAATGCTCTCTTCTGAAATCGGACGGGTAATGCAAAGGAGTTAGTAGTTGAAACAACACAATTTGTAAACATGTATTAGGAGATGTGAACTGTTTCTTTGTTGAAAGCAGAGACGCGTTTTCCAGCTGATCCTGGTCAATAACACTCCCATCGCAGACGTGCTGCGGTTTGTGTCCAAAACATTTAAATGCTGCCTGTAACACACGGCAGAGCAGCAGAGCTGTGCTCCCTGCCGTGGCTGAGAGGCATTAGTGAAAAGGGCTTGTGTTTATTTGTTTCTTTCCTTTCATTAAGGAAATTAGGGGGCACTGAGGAAGTTCTGATTACTAGTGTTAAGAAACAGGAAGTGAGAACCCTGTCAAACTAAGGAGGGCAGTCGGAAGGATGAATTGTCTCATAGCTGTTGAACTCTAAAAATTATCCGGTATGGGCAACTAAAGTGAACACTAAGCTTTTTTTTTTTTTTTCATAAAAAGGCAGAAAAACATGGAGAAATATTTTCAGCAGTGTATGAGAAGTCTTGATGATAAAGAGAGAGAATTTGAGAGCTTTAGCATTCTAAGAAAATAATAATTATCTGGAATAAGACATAAGGCATCTGGTAAAAGAGTAAGAGATAAAATTTTAAAAATTATTTTACTTGTTTAACTGGTCAAGTGCATCTTGACACAACAGGAAAAATGATGCCATGTTACAAAAACATTTACAGCTGTATTTTGGAATACTGTAAAGTTCTTTTAAAGCTTTGTATCATCTGTGTAGTATAGAGAAATTAAGTTTGTTTTCACAGTTGAATAGATCTAGGATGTAACCAAGCATAATCTAACACTTTGGTTAACTGAATATTTCTAGGCCTAATACAGTATACGGTGAAAACTTAGAATCGTGTCATATATACTTGTAATTATTTCTGTGTATTTTTCACATTTTCCATATTCTGATGAGAATAAAATAATTTTATTTTAAAGCTATGGTTGTGCTGATATTGTCATTGTGAAATCTTCACACAGAGTGTGAATGCCATCTTAATGATTTTAATGGAATATTTTACACACTCAAGGGTAGTTTTAAAGCATTTTACATCTAGGTAAAAAGTAACGATTTTATTTTGATATTTTTTAAGTCTTTTATGCCTCTGAATCTATAGTGACACATTCCATTGCCACGCTCATTATCTTATGTTGGTTACAACTTTGGAACACATTCCATTCTATGTCTCATTTGGAATATTCTTGGTAAAACATTTTTAAAAAGCAAAGCTAATTACTGTAGAAAAAAAGACCACTTGACTTAAAATGAGTTTTGTCATTCTTCAAAATAAAGTCAGAAATGTTGAGCTTTACTAACAACTGGATGTGTGATTTGATTTATCTGATATTTTCAATCCATAAATATCTTCACTTCTTGCACCCCATTCTTTCCCAAATTAAATATATAAACAAAGAAAGGCTTCTGTCAAATATTGAGATAAATCCCCCATATAAATGACCCATTTTCTAGTACTGATCTTTTCCAGTATTGATAAGTTTATTTCTGTGTATTCAACAATATAAAACTTTTCTTCAGACTTGACTGTGGCTCTTTAGTACAACTGAGCTGACAAATCCAGGAAAGGAAAGGAATACATGAACTTTTCAAACTGTCCTTTTCAGCTTCTAGATACTGCAATACAGTGTGCAAAGAACAGAAGATCGTATTTTGTTCTACACCATATACGACATTATAGAGAATATTAAAATGTTCATAGCAAGTGATTTTAATGTCGTAAAAACTTTTTGGACTGCCAGACAAAATATTGCTTTAAAGAAGTGAATAAAAGCTAATTTGTATATTTTATCAAACTACTATTGATCACCAAACTATACTGCACCCCCCCCAAAATCACAAATGCTACCATTAAATTCTCAAAATAATTGTCAATTAGATTATGAACTAGGAATTTTCTCTAATTTTGTTTATTACTGTACTAACTTCCTAAGGGTTTAGATAATAAAATTAGCATTCACAAAGCAAATTATGTTTGGTGAAATTGAAATTAAAAATTCAATAATATAGTACCACACAAGACCACAGTTTTTGGTCAAATAAATAATAAGTAATGAAATTTAAATATACAGAAATTCTAAAGAGTGGAATTTTTTTACATACTAATATGGTAAGACTGATATATTTCATAGTCACATTTTTAAACAAATTCATTTAAGTATTCTTTCAGGTTATTACACTTTATGTTTATAGTAAACATATGTATAATCACACAAGGTTACACACAAACTGACAAAATAGGAGAGCTCGTAAATTTGAATAGGTTTTTTTAAGTATAGGATTGCCACATATATCAAATATTGGAAATCTAAATCTTATAGAGCGTATACTGTATATTAATTTATCTGAATACAAAAAGGCTTTCTAACAACAGTATCAGTTCTTCATGGAAGCTTATATAATATTTATGTTTATGATCATTTTTCCTGAGATTGAAACTTACAGATCTTATATGACATTTTATAAAATGCTTAAGTATCGCCATCTTATGGTAAGATAAGTTACTTGAAAGTCAATTTTATTTTCAAATTAAAAAAAAAAGCCCAAACTTCCATATTCACAGGATGAACTTCCTTTCAGCATCCGCTTACTTTCTTTTCTGTCATTTAATATATCAGAAAATTGGCAAGATTAGTATTTTCTTTAGGCAAAGGGAAGCAATTTACTGCTAATTAATATTTGCATTTTTATATAGACAGATCATCAATTTTCCTCTCAGGAAAATTATTAGAATTATGTTTTCTTAATTAAAATCTTATGAACAAGTTTCCAGTTCCATTTAGAAAAACTCCTGGGTATATCACTTTGCTTATTTTAAGAGATATTAATTAATTTCATTTTTAATGGAGTGTCTGAATTATAGGCAATATACCGTTTCATCATTCATTCAATAAGTAAATTTTGAAAAACTGAAACTTTTAGGAACTTACTATTGCTGAGTTTTAGAGAAAGGATTATTTTCTGGTGTAGGAAATTCCTGAGGGCAGCTGCTAGATGGCATCTCTGTGCCTTTAAACTGAAAGCATTGAGTTCCGTAACGACCTTGATAGTACGAGAGTGAACCTCTTTTTCTTACACAAGATTTTTAGCAGACCATTATTTGAACGTTATAAGAAAACAGTGATCCCTGCGAATCAGAACCATCCATTTGTCTGCTCTGCGATGCTGAGCTATGAAGAAAGGAGGATATAAATGTGGCTGTGCAGGTTTCAAACAGAACATATACACTGGAGTCAGACACTTGGGGAACAGTTAAAAAGAGGTGACGTGGGCATAGCCACACATTGCAGTGACTGCTGAACCTTAAAGCAGTCATAGTTATGTGATAAATACGTGCAAAACACCCCAGCATGCTTAGATTGAGAAAACATTCACTATCTTCTGACCTAGAAATATATTAAAGAACATACTACCACGGTACTTGCCCACATTACAGACATCAAATGTAACAATGATTCAGCAATAATCTTCCACACCAAACTGTTCTTTCTGTCCAAACAACTCAGCCAATTAGAACTCTTGCCTTAAACAAGACAGTTGCTTTAAAGCCATATAAACATAATGGGAACTAAGAGAATTTCGACAATTATATTGGCAAATGCTTCATAATGTAGTATACCATGCAAAAGTGATTTTGTGTTTTGGTATTGCTAAAGAAAATCATCAAAGACCTAAATTGGCTAGAAGTGGCATTTGTACATGAATCTATTTAAAGTTATTGTTTTCACAACCTTTAAATGAAATTGATAAAAAGCAAAAACAACAAGAGAAATAAACTGAGATCAGTATCAATTTGCTTTAAAATTCACCTTAAAAACCTACCTCCTGTGTGCCAGAGACATCCTCTATACAACAAGATCGACTCAAATCGGAAGAGAAAATATGGATCGATGGCATTTGGTGAGAACCTGTAATTATGCACCAATAAACCCTGATACGATAAAAAGTGAAAAGTTCAATGTAGCCCATCCATGTTTTGAAAGAACAAGTGACTTTCTTACTCTCATTTTATCCCATCCTCCTTAACCCAATTAAATTTTTACTTTGGAGAAAGTAAATATCCTTTCCCACTCTTTTTCTTGGCAACTTGAAAAGGTTAAAATGGTACTGCTTTCCTTTATTTTTCTTTTAAGATTCTTATTCCCTGTAATTTTGCAACTATACTCTTTAAAACACGACTATTGTGAGAATTGATCAATGCTCTTTTGGAAGAGAAAGCAACACAAGAGTGAGAAACAAGGGGTAGGATTCAGGGTCCCTCATTTCTCATCCCTACTCTGCCACTGATTATACATAAATGAATATATATACGAATGATTTGGGGGAAGCTGTGACCCAGTGTCCTCACTTGTAAAATGAGGGGCTTACACGTTCTTAAAACTTCTTTGTTAAAGTCTAGAATGACTCTGTGGCATGGTCTGCATATTTGTGCACTCCCCCCATTCATATGTGGAAACCTAATGCTCAACGTGATGGTATTAAGATATGGGGCCTTTGGCAGGTGATTAGGTCATCGTGAATGGGATTAGTGTCCCTATTATAAGAGGCCCCAGAGAGAAAGCTCACTCTTTCCCCCACGTGAGGAGACAAGGAGAAGCATGTGACTTGGAAAAGGGCCCTCACATGACCATGGTGCCACCCTGATCTTGAACTTCCAGCC